TATTAACGCTCTGGTCAAATGATTATCTAAATGCTTCTATAAGAAATTAGAAAAAAATACTTGGGGAATATTGCTAGAGGTATAAGAATTATTTAAGCTGCCGCCACGCTTAGGTACCCTTCACTCGTAAAAAGTAAAAGTACAGCAATAAAAACTGTTAATCCTAAGGTATAAAATACTGTAGATCACTAAAACTGATAATCCGTAAAAAATATCTTCGGGAGCAGTGCTTTCAAATGAACAGAATAGCATTTTTTTTACAACGTATTGTAATGGAAAGGGAGACCGGTATAAGCTTTCTAACCTCTCAATTTCTCCTTGCAGGGCCAGATGCAAGGGCGGCAAGGAGAAAGATTAGATTAATCTTCCGCTAATCCCCGACACTGTTGTAAAAGTGAAAGTACGAGCTGTTCACTGGTGACAAACGAAACGCACGAGAACAATGGAAACCGTGAAGCTATCAATGACAATTGTGAAGACGTATGATTCCCTCGAAATTAACCTAGAGTTAATTTTTATTAGTTCCTTAACGATCCTACCTCACTTGGGTCTTCTTACGATGGTCAAGTAATAACAGTTATGTGCCTCTATTACTTCCGCGGGGCAACGAAAATACTCATTATCCGCAGCAAATCGTTTTCGTCACCTATTTGGGACTGGGTGGTACCGGAAGCAGAAGTTATACAATGGACCCATAATATTCGAACACTCAGGTTAGCGAATGGAAAATGGTTTAAGCTGAACCATTACACAATAAGTCAGGGTCACAATAAAATTTTATTGGAAAATTGCTGTCGGTTTTTCCAAGGATGAAGGATATTTCAATTGCCATACCTAAAATATTTGGTGTTAAATTGTCAGAGTTTCGTAGCCTTTTGTACTCAGGAATGCTTAACGAGACACCCATTGGTGAACCAGTGATGGAAAATAAGAAATATCCTCTGTCTGCATAGACAATAAAATCTTGCGACTTGGCCCCATTATACTTTAAGCCCCTTTCCAACAAGTCACTTGAATTGTTGACAATCTTAAGTATGAGGCTAGGATAGTTACGTGACTTTTCTAACACGCGTCCGTAAAATTTTAACGTTTCTTGCTCGATTTTATCGAGAAACAGGTAAAAATAGTGTAAAATATGGGTTTACAGGAGTACACTATTCGTCTTTATATGAGAATATTTTCCGATCGTCAGATATCTCTTCAGAAAAAGGAAAGTCAAATCTGGCGCCCTCAGAATATGCTAATATTTAGTAATATGAGCGTTATATAATTATATAAAACAATTAACATGATGTGTGAGCTGTACGGGGAGAATACATTAAAGAACGCGTATGCCAAAAATGGTTTGCAAGATTTCGTTCGAGATGTTTCACTTCATAATGCCTCATGCTCTGATTGACCACAAGAGATTGACAACGAACAGAAACAAAGTACTTAATCGGAGCTCCAAGTGTCAAGAACGACCATAGAAACCAGAAATTATTAAAAACCGCACAAACTTTCTGACAAACAATCATTACTTCAAAGTATACTAATCAATACTAGATTATCTTCCGTATTTTTCGCTTCATGTCAATTCAAAGTTCTATCTCTCTTATCGAAAGATATTAAATAAATTAAATTATTTATTTCCTCATGGAAATTAAATGCACTAGAACTACCAAACCAGTAAAAATGGCTAGTTTTGAATAGAGATATGCATGTACAAAAACAATCAGTAGTTTTATAATGAATGTCATAATGATGCAGCTAAGAAAATATGCATTACATAATAAGAGTGAATTGCACGGTTAACTTGATTTATTATAAATTTAATTAAATTTGAACTTGATTTATACATAGACATACGCGTGGCTATGATATGGTACGAAACGTATGCGGATGCACATTACACTTGGTTTCCCATAAATTTAATTACAGGTCGACTTAATTTGATAATTATATAATAACGTGTAATGAGAATGAAATGTTCTTGACCAATTTGTCATTAGAGCACCAGAGAAAGTGTTCAAAAATTAATTCACATCTGTGGTACCACAAAGAGCTCATTTTTACTGTAAATAAATATTGCACTCCTACCAATTGAAGAATTCGTTTTGTTTTGAAGTTTCCCTCAAATTTACTCAACGAAAATTAGCATTCCATCGAATCTATTTCTGTAATGGAAATTGCTAATGAGAATTCCGAAGTCCTTGAACACGACAAATTACTTGGGCCATTTTAGGTGAAAGTGGAATAGGTGAAATGAAAAGGAGTAACAAAAAGCTTGTAACAGTGGGGAAATTTGAAAAGTTTGAACACTTTAGCATGGAGGTAAGAGTGAAGGTTGAGGCTGGGGAGGAAAAGAAGCGGACAGACATAGTGCAATTTCGTTGTAAATCTCGGGGGAAAGGCCCCGTGAACGACACGGTGACCCAGAAAGTCAAAGGGTTGCCTGGATGGATTCCGTCAAGATCGATTCGAATTTCGTGCACGAGCTACGCGACCGTTTACGACCTGTCCCTTTCGAGTTTCCGGCGCGAGGTAAATCGAGGGGCAAGCGCAGACTGCGGCGCATCTCTTTTACGCGAAAATCGGTGAAATGAGCCTCGGAGACTCACCAGGATACACCAATAAATCTCCATCGGTCTGCAGCAAGGCTAGCCATCTTTCTCTCCAGGCTTACGCTGCCCCAGGCACCCTAGGAAGATACCGCACGATTTTCTGTCCAAATATTTAGAATCTTCACCAGCGATCCTCATAAATTAATGAATTATAGCATCGTTTCTGTGGCTAAACCGGTTTATACCCCTTTACTTTCTTCCAACGTGACCGCAATTATTTCTCTAAAATCATTTTTATAATATTAATTAGTGTTTTATGATAACAAATTAGTACTGATTTCTAGACTGTGGATTTTCATGCTAAATAATGTAGCTAAGGACTTTAGATATGCTTGCCTTTCATTCAGACAACTTCAGTCTGTTTTATACACATATCCTTGCACATTGTGTGCAATATTCAATTTAAGTTTAAACATACTTTTCACTCTTACAAATGCACAGAAATTCCCAATCTACTGATTTATTTAACGTAGAAACTATGCTTATTATTTATTAATTGGCCATTGTCTTTCGTCTTTGGATGACTTCTTTCAAAATATGCTTTACAAAGTAGTATGTATTTGAAACTAATTCTCCTTCCCATTCTGCTTAGGGAATAACAATCGTGTTAATACATGTCTTCCATGATCTTTAAACTTTCTTAGAATTACTTTCACGTCTTCCTCGTTCTTAATTCAACTATCAATCATTATTTTCTCTTTAATCCTTAGTCTTCTCGCTCCCTTCACCCGCTCCTCCACGTTAAAGAGCAAGTATTAAACTTTTAAGTTAAGCTAAAAATGGGAACTTTATTAATATAAATAAATAATAAGTAAGTATGTGTTAGAAAATTGACTGGAATTCGTCGGGTCAGTTCCTGAACTCGCGTAAATCGCTGTCCAAATACTGTGAGACGTGTACACAGGACCGAGTAAATCCGTCAAACTTAATAAATTCGTCAAGAATTAATTCGCCACAGACCGCAAGGATTATCCAGCCTTAACGAAGCGTGATTTCAAGATTTATGTGCCTCTTTTTCCCAACCCGAGATCGGACGGATTAGGCCGAGGTAATTCCGAAAAAAGATCGCTATGACGCGGGGGAACGCGTTGCCTCACCTCGCCGTCAGTAAATACAAATCACCCTCGCTCCCCCCAGCCCCCCTTCGTTCTCATAATTAATCTCCCTGCTCATTCCGTTGCATGCGAGAAAAACACGCAAGATTCGTTATAAAATAAAGTTAATGATATATTGAATAAAGCATACTTAATGGAAGAGTAGAAAATAATTACTGACACGGTGCGTTAGAAAAAAAATTAATAAAGAACGAAAAACATTGTTCATTACATGCAGCGTTTAATTAAATTTTGACATAGTATTGCCCTTAACTGAGTGTATCGAGATTTTTATTAGTATTTGAATTCATGGAATCTGATGGCACTGGCAGAGAGAATGAATGTAATTTTTTTAACTGAAATACTTTTGATTGAGGGTAACAGACAGGAATCGTTGAGCTATATGACAAATCGTCAAAAATTAATTATCTCCATACATTTTTTCTACAGTATATTAGGGTAGAAAATTTAATTTAGAATCACGACTGACAAAAGGACATAATACTACATTTACCATGTGTCACGATCATACAATCTGAAGAATAACATACTGCTATTTTATTGCAATCTTTACCTATAAAAAATCTTCTTCAAAATCTATTATGTCAGTTTTTAACGCGAAGGTCAAGAAACGTGTGCAGGTCGCAGGGTGCATTGGGTGTGGAGAATATTTGGCAAACGTGTGTGTAAAAATTCGAGAGAGAAAAGGGGGAGGCTAAGGAATACAGAAGGGAAAATTAACGAAGAGGTGAGATAAATAGATGTCGGTTCTTAACGCGAAGGTCAAGAAACATGTGCAACTCGCAGGGTGCATCGGGTGTGGGGAGTGTTTGGGACACGTGTGCGTGAAAATTCGCAACGGGAACGTGGCTAGGAGGAGAATGAAGACAGCGAAGACGCGGAAGGGAGAATTGGCGATGGGGTGAAATCGGGCAAGCGGTCTGCCGGACGAGAGACCGAGAGGGTTGGCTGGAACGAGAGAGAGGGAGAACGGGGGGTGAGTGCGGCTCGCGTGACGCGCGACGCGAGAGGGAAGATGGGAAGCGGTAAGGAAGAGTCGCGGTGGCTTCGGGCACCCTTCGTTGGAGAGGCTGAGCAGGCTTGCCGTGAGCCCCTTTCGCAAGGTTCTCCCCCTAAGCCTGGTTAGGGGTGAAGGCGGCGAGCCGCGGAGGCCACAACACGACCGCTGCCCTCATTGGTCGACGCGCTTCCCCTGGGTGGGGCTCCGGAAAAATTGGTGGGGATAAAAATCCCCTCTAAATAGCTGCGGCTACGGCCGCGAAAAACTAGAGCCCGCTCGGCTGGCATCGAGTGCGCGTCGGTTCACCAACGTTTTTAGCTGCTGTTACTAGCCCCCGTATACTGTTCGTGCGTTGTTTTGTGTTCTCCGTTCATGCCGCGAGAGTAAACGAAGAGACGACCGTTGACTCTTACATAAACTATCTCACATAAACCATTTTTATTTGATAAGTGTATATAAAATTGATCGACTAACTTTGGTGGTTTGCTGCTTCTGTGTGTAGTTCGGATACATTCGGTGTGACACGCAGTGCTTAAATATTTGAACCATCCGTGTTGCCCGAAGGATTATTACACAACGGCTGGATTTTTTAATATAAACGTGCATGACACAAAATGCATTTGCCGGAAGGTCCGATGAGTATGGAGCACCTTAACGCAATACATGAATCGCTGCAAGCTTCTCACGGTAACTTGGTGAGGACCGGAAGTCCCGCCATACTCTGTACCTCGTTACCGTCCCACTGGAGGTCGAACAAGTCATTGCCACACGCGTTCAAGGTCGTCGCCCTCGACGAAGTTAGCGACGGCACCATGGTTACTATCAGAGCTGGTAACGACGAGAATTGTTGCGGCGAACTCAGGAATTGCACCGCGGTAATGAAGAACCAAGTAGCTAAATTCAACGATCTCAGATTCGTGGGTCGCAGCGGAAGAGGTCAGTTCAACTGCCATTGTGTACACAATTTCTTAAAAATGATAAACTCTCTTTCATAATTTTGTACTACTTTGATTAGTTCGATGATTATAGAAAGACTTCAGTTTGATGGTCATGAAAAATCTTAAAGTCTTGTGAAATTCTTTGAGAAAAAATTTGTTACCAATTTGTCAATATTCATGATCGTACGCTTATTAATTTTGCACTACTTACGATTAGTTCGATGATTATAGAAAGACTTCAAAAATTTCTTAAAAATAGATTCCTTATTAATTTGGTACTTTGATAGATTAAATAATTAGACGATCTTTTGTGTCACTTTAGGTAAATCGTTCTCGTTGACGATCCAAATAAGTACAGTACCATTTCAAGTGGCAACTTATACCAAAGCTATCAAAGTAACTGTGGATGGCCCAAGAGAACCGAGATCCAAGTCGAGTAAGTAGATTAATAACTTAATATAACCTTCACTGTATAATCTGAGTCTCTTATTTTATAACTTCTGCACTCTTCTTTTTAACACCTTGATCTTCACTATAAAATGCTATTTTTATTTCTTCATTTCTGCAATTCTTTAGACTTTTCGATTTGACATGCTTCCTCCGCATTTTTATTATATCAAAAGATTTTCAATGAGATCTTTAT